GGCAATTGTGTCCGCTGCGTTGTCGGAGCAACGGAGTGCAACATGTGACGTCATTGGTAGTTTTCAAAATGGCGGACGAAGAACCGCAGAATAGGTAAAATTGAGAAAAAGATAATTTGTGTGTGTAGAGTAGAATTTGGGCACGTTCTGTTGCAATCATGACTAATCTAAGGTAAGTGTGTGTTTTAAAATGATATTATGACCATGGCGTTGTTGTTTATATTATTGAATGCTTCGAATGTTCGACTGAATTAAATCGATGTTTGCTTCGCAACTCCGTATGATCATGACCATCTCTTAGAAAGCTTACTTCAAAATTCTATCTTGGTTAAACGAGGCAAAGGAATCGGATTATCTAGCAGCTTCAACAGGAATAAAAACTTCAACTTTATTTCTTCCTTCAGTATTCTAAATTCACCTTCACATATGTTAAATTCTCGTTTTCAGCTGTGTTGTACAGAGTTCACACTTCAGCTCGTGTTAAGCGCAGTTGAACCTTGTGCGGATGGCCTCATAAAGTTAAATCATAGTTTAATCGGTTTACGTTGAAAGCATAGATCTCAAACTAAAACAGTTTCTTTACGCTCGTTGAGCGATGTTTGGTGATTTTTAGCTATTTTTATTCACAATGTTCTTAATAACTCTTCAATTACAAATTGCGTTTACTTGTTTTCTTGCATGCAGTAAACATACATACAATCTTTATTTATACACGATAAAAGACGTCAAAGCTAAACGAGGCTGGATCCTATAGATAGAACTGTATTATGGTTCAAGTTGTGACATTTACTCAAATTATGTACCATTTGGGCTTTACTGTTTTCATGGTACGGATGTCAAAAGATATCATTATAAAATTATACTTTGTTTTGACGGGTAAAGTTCCAGATAGCCTTGTTGTGTAGCACTGCAAGTCTAGTTGACACCTGTCACCTGTACCATAAAAGCCCAACTGTGTGAGGATGAGGAGGAAAGGGGTGGGGGGAGGGGAACAGACTTAATAGGCAGGTTCACGGTCTTAGTTGCATCATGGGTAATCAGGGCAAGATTGTAAAGAAACAAAGCAGCAAAAGATATGTTTTTCTTCTTATTTCCACTCTGAGTTTCATTTTCGAGTAGAAACTTTTACTATAAATAAAGAAACCCCTTTTCTGCATTAAAACTAGCATTTTTGAGTTGATTGAGTTAGGCATTAGCCTACTTATCAGAGTAGCGGAGATGTTATGTTTGTGGCTTGAGTGGCTAAGACTTGATCAAATTATTCGGTTTTAACTGTAAAAAAGTTCCTACGCCCACAGCAATCACCCGATTGGCTCAAAAGTGCTGGTAAGCCTAGAAAAGGGGTCTCTCCATCAACAGTATATGTTTCATCTCCAAATGTAAAATCAGAATGGAAAATATAAAGAAAAACGTATGTTTTACAGCTTTACTTCTTTGTAAATCTGCCCTGATTACCCATGATGCAACTAAGAGCATGAACCTGTCTATTCAAATCATGACTCAATTAGTGCACAATGAAAAGTAAATGTGGAGGAAGGAAGCATGTAAATGCGAAAAAATAGGTGGTGGTTGTAAAGTTGTTAGTGTACTGTCTTGGTGGATGCAGGTTGGTTTGGTGAGGCGATATTAGACTGAAATAATTTATTGAAAATGTGGAGTTCAAAAGGGAGGGCTTATGGGAGAGGGGCCTACAAAACAGACAGATTTTGGCATTGTCAATCACCACGAAATGAATTTTTTGTCTCACAGTAAATTCTGTCCGTAACAAATAAAGATTTGACCACCAATTTAGACTGCAAAAGATGCAAAATGCTGCAGCCTCCATAATCTGGCTCTTCCATTTGATCTGTTTGGATAAGTTATTTTCATTTTGGTTTTCACCAAAAAAATATATTGCTCATGCATCATGACATACAGTATGGTGGCCTGGGACTGCCATATCAAGAAACCCATTGTCTTAACAAGTTTCTTGTAAATTTTTTTTTTCAAACTATTTTTTTAATTTTTTTTTAAATTTATTTTGCAGCAAATTTTGATTACGTTTGAAATTACTTTCATTTTTAAAATCTTTTTTTTTATTATTTTGTTTCTTGAGATATTTTCTTCGATTTAAATTTATTTCTTGATTTATTTACTTTTGATTTTAAATTAAAATATTTTTGTGATTAAAAAACAAAACAAAATGACATTAAAAGAAACAGAAAAAATACAATCGAAAAAGCAAATAAAACATAAATTTACAAGAAACTTGTTAAGACAATGGGTTTTTTTATATGGCAGTCCCAGGCCACCATAATACAGTAAACAATAAAATGTCATTTTATGTAAATTGAAAAGTAATATGATACCTATGGGTTGCATATTACTTGGTATTACAGTCAAATCTCTGCTAATGGCCACCTCTCCACAACTGCCACTTCTCTACAGTGGTCATTTTTTTTGTCCCAGCAGACGGTCCATACGTTCATAATTCTTATTAAAACTTCTGTACAATGGCCACTTCCTTATAATGGCAATGGCCACGAAAGTGCATCCCAACTGCAAAAATAACCACTAGGCAATGGCCAGTTTATCAACGACTGACAAACGGTACACACAAAACCCAATTTTTTTTAATGGAAAAGGTCACAAAACTTGATCTATACCACCCATTGTTTGTCTCTGTTTCTGTTTGGTTTCTGTTTTATTGATGTATTTTGATTGTGTAATGTATTTACATGTCATACTAAGCTTTTTTTAAAGATAAAAATGTTGAACCCCACAAAAAAAAAAACAGATTACACCCCTACCTCTCCATAATAGCTACCTCAGTCCCTGCAACGGCTGCTTTTCTTTTTCCCTGAGGTGGCCATTGTGGAGAGGTTTGACTGTACTTGATATCAATTCTTGCATAATTCAAGTCTTATATTATATTTCTTATGCCATTATTCATATCCTGAAAACTCTGTTAAATAATGGAAAGAAGTGTTAATAAATCTTTTTAGAAAACAGTCCTAAGAAAATACACTTGCTGATTGGTTGAAAATCGTGATTCTATGACTCAAAACACAGAACTAGCACGAGCTGTCAACGTAATGATGGCGCAAGCGAAGAGAATTTACATTTTGATAATCAAAGTTAACAAGTTGTTTTCCTTTTTTGTCACAGTGTTTTCTAAAAGAGTCACGAGGATCAGTTCTATTGGGGAAAAATTTCAAAAACAAAAATTATGTGACATATTTAAGAAAAAGGAAACATGTTCTCCGTGTTTCTATTGAGTTATAGAAACACTTGTGAAAGTTTGGGAGAACTCGAAAAAGCTGTGAAAACACTCACCTGCGGCTCATGTACCCACAGCATTTCTCATTCTCCCAAAACCTCCACTCATGTTTCTATAACTCGACAGAAACACAGTACATGTATTCTATTTCTTAAATATGTGACATAATTTTGGTTTCTGAAATTTTTCCTCAATAGAACTGACCCTCATGACTTGAGTTCTACTTTCATACCAAAGTTGATGGACAATTTTACCTTTTTGGCAACTCCAGATTGTAATATATGAAATAGTTTTTTTTACCTTTTCACTTTCCACAAGATGTTACTTCCTGGCAAAATCTTTTTGTCCAACAGAAGCATTGTTTGGAAGTATTTAAGGTGTGATGCTACTTAATTACTGTATGTACTAGTACAAAGTTTTAATCTTGAATCATGCACTAAGAATGAATGTTTTATCTTTTATTTTCACAGAGCAAAATATTATTTACCAGTTCATTTTAAGCCTTCATTTTGAAGATGCTGGGTTTGAAACCCAATAAAGTTCAGCCAATCAGTTCTGTGAGCTTAGCTGGTCTTCCCACAGAAGCGCTGATTGGCTCCAATCGCCGCACATCTAAAGGATCACTGTCTGGCTCACTAGCAGGATTTGAACAGCTAGAGGTACCAAGTTATTTTGTTTGAAGTTCTTATTAGAAGGTCTTATTAATATTTAAATTTCAGCTAACAAATTTAAGAAATAGCAAAGTTACATATATCAATAATTAGTTTTCAGCAGTTTTGGTATGGTAACAGGTTAGTGAAATGTTAAGCTGTTTATAAACTTGAAGTTGATAATAAATATAAATTAGCTGCTGTGGTCAGTTTTTGAAGTTGAACATTGGCCTCTCATCAGAGTAAAGCAGAGTATAGTCCCTGTGACAAAGGGCTAGCCCTCAAAACTTCAACTTCGCAAATGTACATGAAATTATTTATTTACAACGTACCTGTGTTGACTTCAAGTTGATAAATAACTAAGTATTTTAGAAGAAATGTTTCATTGTTTTGGTGAAAGTAGCTAGCATATGTTAACACAAACTTTATTGAATATCTGTACCATTATTTTGTAGCCATGGCCGTCCCTATAAATTTTTCATTTTCCATCAACCTCAGTGTTTTTGGATCAGATGATCAGAGTCTGTTAAAACAAACTATTAACACCATGAAAAAGAGAATGGCAAATTGTTGTTGTTGGCAAATTTTTCCCTGGTTGATGCATGACACTTACATGGATATAAAAATTGAAGTGATAAGCTAAAATAAATGTCAAAGTGTCATCTTGTCAATAAAAAAATCACAAAGTTAATGTTTCAGGCAATATTAGTTAGCCATTCTTCAGTGTGTTCTAGTCATTGTCTATTCCACTGGATGTCCGCAGACACATGAAGTCATATGAAGAGCCTTCAGTAAATTGAAGTGTCACTCCCAGTCAGAAACATTAAGCAGTATATTACCAGCTAATAAATAATAAAAAAATATAAATTTAAATACAAGTCATATTATTTTTAATTAATGAATTTTACCTGGCTTTTGAACTTTGCATTACTTGTAATTAGTAATAATTTTATAATTTATTGTTACTTGTGGTAAACCTTAGAAGTTGTTTATCTTGAAAAGAAAAGACTTAAATCACATGAAATGAATTTTAATTTGTTAACAATAATCAAATAAATGTAATGCACTGTAATGCAAAGAACATACTAGGTAAAAAATTCTTGTAACAGTAATCAGTTAAATAAAATGTCATGACCTATCTTTGTACACTGACATGATGGCACACCTTTAAAATATTAGCTTGTTAAGAAATATAAAATTGACCATTCTGGTAATTTTCAGTTTCTCACACCAAGTGGCAGTAGAAGGTTGTCATCTCTAGCTTTAAAAAAAGTAAGTATTAATGATTAAAGAGAAAAAAAAACACATTTATTTCACTTAATTATGCTCTAAATATCTAAAGACGTGATGACAGATACAGTATTGAAATATAAAATTAATGTCTAATCGTTAATTTTTTCAAAAAAAACAAAAACAAATTGAAGGTCACTCCAGAAAAATACTGTTAAGTACTTGGAATTTCCAGTGACCCTCTCTCTGGAGTGAGTATGGACATACGGTAATGTTGAAACACACACTAAAGAGTTGTCTATGAATAAGACAGAAACATACAATAATTACTTGAGATTAATAGTATTTAATGTTTTAATGACAATAAATTAAAAGTATTACATAACAAATAGAATTCCATATAACCATGCATGTTCAGTAATAGATCACAGATATTTGTGTCAAAATGTGGTATGAATAAAACAGTGGCACATAAGCCGTTAGCCGAGTGTGTCACTGATGTTCCTGCTACATTTTGATGTGGTCTGTAATCTATTCTTGATATCAGAACAGATGCACAGCAACATGGAATCTACTTGTTTTATATAATAAAGAAACAAAAATGTTTTCAATGCCATTATCTATGCATCTATCCTTCAATAGATCGTAAGAACCAATCAAAATGTGAGAATAATTTGACATATTACATAAAGTCAGTTAATTGCACACTGTAAGTCCTCTAAACGTAATAATGGTCAGTGTAAAAGAAACCTAGTTAAAATACTAAAATTAGATTATCCTCCACTCAATTAATATATTATATCTTTTGCTCAAGCTCTGTAAGCCATATTTAGTAGTTCTCACTAGTTTTTGTTGTATGATTCCACATTCTGGAGAGATCAAAAAATTTTCTTGATCAAGAAGTTAATGCCTTTGTGGGATATATAATTATATGGTATAGATTCAGTTCAAAATCTTTTAGTTTCTTAAGCTGCTGGCAGCTGCTTTAACAGATCCCATCAAGTTGTTTAAGCAAGTGCTCATTGGCTGATCAATAATTGCCAAACTTTTTTTATTTTGAAATGTTCTTGCTAATTTCTACTAACAGAAAATTTGCATGTCTCTCCCATAGAGGTACATGTAATCACTGTTTGAAAACGTAAGACAAGACTTGAAGATTTGGGCAAACTGTTTGCAAGTAGTTTTTCCAGCAACACTTAATTTGTGTGAAATGAGAGTTTTTCTATTGATTTAAATTTAGAATAACCGTGCAGCATAGCATTTTTTGTTGACATCAAGCTAAATATTAAAAGCACATGTCACATCAAGGGAGCTTTTCGTTACCAGTTGATTATGAACAAGCCCAGGCTAAAATTTTCAGCTCTTTGGCTGAGTATTTTGTAAAGGTAGGCATTATTTAGTTCTCATTTTATTTATTTCGGTCCAAATCCTTAGTGCTATAACATAGTTTTATTTTGTCTTGGTGTATTGTCTGCTTAAAGTGGCCCTCAGTGAATGACCTTTATCACTTATACTATGTACTGTGAATACAGCACAGATATATTTTTTCATCCAGAAGTGATACTAACTTAAAATAAACCATTGAAACTTCAAATTGTTTTACAACAAGACCTTGTCACAGTGAAGAACAAAGAGGGAGCATTTGCTGAAGTCAGATTTTTTTTTCATTATTCCTAGAAATATTTTGAGGAACAGCTTGTTTATTTGTTTGTATCAACTAACTTGAAAGTTTTCTGGTTCTTTTGCTCTCAGACATGAGATAATATCTCAAATAATTTGAACTACTAAATTCTGGTACACAAAAATATAGAAATTAATAGTCAGAGAAATAAAGATGCAAAGCACTTGCCTCTGACGCTTTAGGTTGAATATCATGATTAAACTGAATCTGTAGAATGATAGAAATTAATGTAAGAACATTATGAAAGTTCAACTCTCTAATTCTGGAAATAAAAGGTTACAATTATCCACGGAACCTGAGGAAAAAAATATTACCTTGCCACAAAAACAGTTCAATCCTTTTCTTCTTTGTTGTCATTTTTTATTAAAGATACTGGAAAAGTTGAGCTCATGGACTGTTTTTGATCAAACTAATTTCTGTGGCTTCCATTGTTTTGATTTGTTTCTTTGTGTTTTGGAAGAGTGACCTAGCTTTCAAAGATTTTCAAAGCAGATGTTAGAAGTAAAATTATTATTTTTAAAAATCTATAGGAAAAATTTTAAAAAATATATTTGGTTGATACTTTAATTTATGTCAGGGCTTATATTTTTGATAAGTGAAGAAATTAAGTTTGAAGAATCATATTTTCCACTGTTTTTATGATCGTGGGAAGCATTTTCCTCTGGAAAATTCTCAAGATTATTTTGAATAAATTAAACTCGAGGTCTTTGATATGTAAATTTGAAAGGTTTCCCTTGGCTAGTTAACTCACAACAACAATTTTGTGTTCTTCATGCCTGAAGTGATACCGACAATAACAGTTTGACGTTTGTTGCTTCATTTAACTTGTAAAATCTTTGTGCTAAAACAGTATGGAAGGTGTACAATGCAATGAGGACAGAAAATTTAACTTACAACATACAGCTGCGCACACGTAGTTTTTAAGTTGTTGATACACTGCATATATAGCGTCTTTTGGAAAATGATAGAATCATTCTCGCCTCTTTATGAGCTTGATTCTCATGAAAGTACAGTTTCTCTTAAGAAATTTGGACAGCAGCAGGTGAGTGATGATGAAGTTGATGTTAAATTACTTCTAGTGTCTAGCTTCAACCATGCAAATCTCTCAGTCAACAATTTTCAAAGTGTTAAATATTGCAGATCTTCAATGATTTAAGCATTTTCTAATTTGCTATGGTCCAGAACAAACTGTATCAAGACACATTAACAGGAAGTAATAACTCTTTAAGTGGACTAATTTTCAGCCATGTCTGCATGGCAAACTGATTTTAAATTAAGTGCATTTGTTTTAAATACTGTTGGTACGCTTTTAGGAATTAACACTATAAGAGTGATCCCATCGGAACATGAAAAAATATTTTTGACAGCTAAACTGATAACACAGGTAGCTTATTCAACTGGTCATAAAACAAATTATTTAATAACTGAAGAACTGGTTATGTGGGAGATAATTTTGCTAGTATGAGTGAGGAATGAAGCTCAGCATTAAGTTGAAATTGAAGGATAAGCTACACTGTAGAATAACACCAACTACATTGTATTTGTGACTGTTACTGCTATCATGTCTCATGTTTCTGATACTTATCAAAATTGTCTTTTTAGAAAAACAAGAAGTCATGGATTGCTGGTAACTTTCAACGGCGAGAGTGCATTAGAATTGTGAAGGATGCAAAGAAAACCGTGTCTGAAGAGTAAGAGCCTGTGAAGAATTTATGCTAGTGCAATATTTATGACTGAGTTTTATTTATTTAGTAATCCTGAATAGGCCAATTTTGACATTTTAAATTTCTAACTTGGCTCTGAAGCTCAGGGGATCAAAACAAACAAAATTTAGTTATTCATCCATCAACCTCAAGGTGATTATTTTTGTCTTTATTTCTTGAATACTCATAGCCAAGTTAGAATTTTAATGCATCAAAACTGGTATCCAGGCATCCTGTGGATGCCCACTTGTTGAGAATTTTGTTTTACATAATGCCCACTTTTCAAATCCTGCCTTAAAACTTTGTTGATAAAGGGCACAAAGCTTGTACATTTGGACATAATTAAACAAATTGTGTTACATCAGAAAATAGCAACATCTACTTATTCTCCCCACGGAGGTGTATTTTGCAGGGTCAACCTCCCTCCCCCCCCCCCCCCCCCCCCCCCCTCCCCCCCCCCCCCCCGGGCTAACCCAAGCACTGGGAGATTTTTAAAGTGTCTTGCCAAAGTTCCCCGGCCAGGGCTCGATGCGGAGGCGAGCGTACNCCCTTCACCTTTCTCCGAACAAATTTTACTGCATTTGAGAAGCCCCAGGTCCCTCAGGATCGTCTGTGACTCTCTGTTGGTTTGAACTCTTCACCTCCACCCCTCTAGACTTTCCAGTTTAGTTTGATACTTTCTTTCTAAAGGTTTGGCCCTTGAGACCCCACCCTCTCAGAATCTCCAGTAGCCCTCTGTTAGCAGTTTAGTTTCAGGGTTAAGAGTTTGGTACCATCTCAGACATTATAGCCAGAATTTAGACATTTACAAATGTTCAAAGTCACGTCACGCAACGTCTCTCCCCACTAGTTAGTTCTTGAGGTGAAGAGTTGCGTGACCACTCAATGAACAGCTGTGAAGGAGACTAGAAAAGCCCAGCTGTCAATGAGTTAAAGCCCTGGTTAAGTTGAATTTTTTAATGCACAGTTGTTTTGATTTTTCTGTTTTGGTTTTGGTAGGAATCCCATGTGTAAGTGCGGCAGATTGAAATCACTTCATGATGCCAGCGTGACACGAGAAGACAGCAGTGATCAGTGGACACCTGAGAGGTGCTCTCGAAAGCTACCTACTGATGGGTACGGAGAAATCGAGTTCCTGGGGCAAGGCAGTCAGACAAAGAGATCTCCGGTCAGTAGATTTCTTTTGTGATACCGTGCAAACACTTTCTTGACAGTTGGTCAAATTATAGCCGTTGCCCGCTAAATGTACAGTTGCATCCCGGGGGGAGATTCCCATATGAAAAGGTCGGGGATGCTCATCAGAGAATTTGAATTAAACCCCTGAAGGAGACGGTAAGGCTTGAGCTTTGTTGGACACGGGAAGACCCTGAAAGATACCACTTAAAAACCTAATAGGCTCGATTACCAGCTGCCATTCAGATAAGGAGCCCACGCTGGTAGACCGCACTCACGAAACCGTTGGAAATCGAGCCTAAAAAAACGGAAGTAGGAGTGTTATTATTGTAATTATTTCTCTGAGGCACCCTAAAATATACTTTGACAGCTTAAAATAGTGGCATTTCATCATGAACACCCTAAGCGAGACCACGAGCATCCCAACCATTTCATATGAGAGTTCCCCCCAGGAGTTGCATTGCAGTTGAGGCATTGTGCCTAAGGGCTGATGCAATTTTTAGGCTTATCAGGGTGGTCTTGGGACTCTTATAGACTATTTTGATAAGGGTCCTAATAAACGCATTTTCACGAAGACATGAAGTTGTCATCATTGCTTCTTAGTAGCTAGGTGTAGCAGCCGGTAGTATTCCAGCCAGCCTGGGCCACTGGTCCGGGCACAGAATTTACCTTTATCACAGAGATTGCATGTAGATGTAATGTCCCATCTTTTCTTTTGTCCTGCAGTATGTCCGTGTGTCCCACGATACCGATGTGCAGCTCATCTTGAAATTGATGCTTGAGAGATGGAATTTAGAGATCCCAAACTTAGTCATTTCTGTGACTGGTGGCGCCAAGAGCTTTGTCCTCAAACCCAGATTAAAGGAAGTGTTTAGAAGAGGTCTTATTAAGGCTGCCAAGTCAACTAGTGCCTGGATTATTACAGGTTTGCATGATCGTGTTAACATCTTTAACACCATTCTTGTGTATTCTGTGGCTTGTGAGAAATATAGGGAACTTATAAAAGCTCCTCACACCGCAATAAACGATCTTTTTTTGGAAATATTGGGATGAAATGGACACGTTGAAACATTCGAAACTTTCTGAAAATCTTCACTTGTCAGCAACTGGCCTCTTGTTTCAATTAGGAACGGAGATACATTGTAAGGGTATTTAAAGATCAATTTTCCTGCCAACCTCGCTTGATTTACGTCGGTTTCTTTTACGGATGCCAGTAATTTGATAGTTTATACCAGTCGTTACAGCAGTTTCTGTATCACGACATCTGGCTTTGAAATTTATGAGAAATGTTTTGTTTATTGGTGATAAGTTTATCACTTTATGTCAGTTTTAGTTATCTTCAGCATTAAAACAAATGAACTCATTGACTTGTACTTTTTTCATGTTAATTGGGTGTACAGTATTTGTACCATAGTTCCCCTCTACTAACTATGTTTGTACAGAAGAGTTTTTCTTCCCCAATGTTTGCCAATTTTTGTCGATTAGGGATACATACTTTGATTAACATAAATTATGGACGAAAACGAATTATGAGCGAAAGTGGAAAAGAACACTATTTTGGCGTCTGCAATACCTTTTTCCGCTACACGCATGTCATTTTCCCAGCCATCCTTTTCTCCGCCCTCCACAAAGATTGTGATACTTGAATGTTTTTAATGATCGGATTACACGCTCATTACTCTCCAGGAGGAACAAACGCTGGTGTGATGAAGCACGTGGGTGAAGCAGTCAAGGAACAAGCAATCACGTTTGGCAGTGAAGACAAAGTTAATGTTATTGGAATTGCTACCTGGGGCATTGTGGACAGGAAAGATGCACTGATTGGAAAGGTAGGGTAAAATTATTATCGTTTAGTCTTAAATTACAAGCCAGAGTTTAAGGATCCGATGGAAACATGTTCTTGCCGTTACAACCAACTTACTTGCTTATAGTTACGAAAACGTTTTTGCTGAAACAGCACTTGTGACTGATAAAATGCACATTTTTATAATCGTCAAATGTTTTCGCTCGCACGCGATTGGTCACGTGACTGAATATGCCCGGGCTAAAACTGGGGAATGCCCGAGTGATATTCCCCAATTTTCAAACCTGCGTGCGTTTTGAAAAATATTTGAAGGATAATAACACAATAGCCTCTATTTAGCGTGAAATTATGTTCGGATATTTGTCCTTGGACTTTTCTGTTCCTCGAAGCTCACAGGTTTTCTCGAGCTACGCTCTCTGAAAACTGTTCGCGTCTCGGAAGAGGTAATGACCGCGGACAAATGTCTGAGCATATTTTCGCGTCAGAAAAAGGCTATTGTTTATACGTATATGAATATTTTACTTTCAAGCCAAAAGGTTACGTCAAATATGCACTGAACATTAACAGTAGTTCACATTATCCACCGGGTTCGTCACCTTTGTAGTTTTGAAATGTTTTCTTACAAATTCTTTAGAATGTTCTTCAAGCGGGAACTTGTACACTGTTTAAGAAATGTCGCGTTTTTTGCGTTTCGAGGATTTCTGTGCTGTTTGAATCATCATAATATCAGCGGTTGTGTTTATTTTCTACTTTGTACTGCATATAGGACAAGAATGGTCTTTACCCAGCACTGTACCGAATGGAGCAGGTCCCAGGATCCAGTGGGGCCTTACTAGATTCCAATCACTCGCATTTCATACTGGTGGATAATGGAACAGAAGGCAAATATGGCGTGGAGATTGACTTGCGGTCAAGGTTCGAAGAAGCTGTAATGAAGGTCAAAACTGATTCCAGGTCTGCTGCAGGTATGTCACACATGATGATTTATTAATTTTTAGTTAAACATATAATTAAAGCAACAGAAAAATCAAATGCATTACTTTCAGATTTTGTGATTAACATCAATGCTAACAATTTTTCCTTTTTGGTGATTTTCTCCATCCTCTTCACCTGCAAATGCCTGCTGACATCGTTTTTACATTGTTAGAGGGAAAAATCCTTATTTTTGGTCGAAAGACAGTTTCTTTGGGCATGTCCTTTCTGATCACATGTTTCTTCAGTGTTTAAAAATATACCAGGAAAAAGCATGGAAATCAAGTTTGTAGTCGTTAGTTGCAAAGTGAAATCCGGGCCAACTGTCTAAATTTTATATTCTGGCGTTATTGCTCTACGCATTGCACTGTATTCGAAAAACAAAACTGATGTGGAATAAGTACTATAGATGTCTTGAATGTTGCAGTTTAAAAAACAGTCAAACAAACCTCTCCTAACGGAGCTCATAAAACTGACACCTCTATTTTTAAGGACAGTTAACTTCGTCCCAGCGAAGCCAGGATTAATATAATCTCTTCCTCTATATATAGGAACCGTGTGGCAGTATAGTGTCTTACTCTTTTGATATCGCCGTAGGTGCCATTGGTGTTCCAGTGGTTCTATTGGTTCTGGAAGGTGGACCGAACACCGTACGCACCATGTGTGAGCTGATCAAGAAGAAAATCCCCGCAGTGGTGGTGGACGGGAGTGGTCGCGCTGCTGATGTGGTAGCTTATGCTTACAGCCACACTGTGAAGAAATGGTGAGCGTTGGTAGCCATATTCATGGTAGCTTTGATGCATGACTAAAGCTACGCCTCCTTAACCCCGTCACCTTCCTCCCTTTACTCCTTTGTCCTCTTGTCTTTCTATTTTTCTCTGTCACTTCTTTCAAATTTTGCAATTTCTTTGCTCAAACAATTCTGCTTAGCTTACACGATCTCTGGATTGTTTTGGGTTACTTTAATAGACAACTCCAGGGCTATGGCTTTCTGAGTTCATTTTCCCTTTGCTCACCTCTGATTGGTTTATAAACCTTGCACAACGAATTCTAACCTATCAGAACAAACATGACGTTATTTCAACCAATTACATGTAAGAGCAAATCGAAACCAATCATGATTTGGCATACGCGTGTTTTCCGCGCTCTTTAACGGTGGCCTGTTTTCCCGCGCTTTTTACCGGTTGCATGTTTTCCCGCGCGTAGAATGTGTTACACGTTTTCCCGCGCTTGGAGCGTGTTACATGTTTTCCCGCGCTTAGAGCGTGTTACATGTTTTTCCACGCTTTGAGCCGGTTGTATGCTTTCGCTTTTGTTTTCACAACACAGTCACAACAAAACCCTTTTTTTTCGTTTTCACGCAGTGAAGGGAGGACTACTATCAACATAATTGATCCAGCGTTTGAGAGCAAGATACGAGCGAAGGTGGCAGACGTGTTTCCATTCATGAAGGACACAGATGTCAGTGAGCATTACAAGATGATTGAACAAGTGCTTGAGGACGAAAAAATGGTAAATTAACTTGTGTTTCTTTTCTTTCATAATTAAGCTTATTTATCTGCCTCTGTTCCCGAATAAGACGTGAATTTTCTACCATTTTACGTATTGCACGTGATAAAAACTCAGCTATCGGACTTGCAAAACTATCCATATGAAAAAGAGTTTTGAAATTTGCATGTGATGGAAATCTCATTTTCATATGAAAGTATGCACCAAGACTCGCTTTGACAAAGAGGCTAAAGGTAATTCGGAAAGGCAAATTACAAAACCTCGAAAGCAAGGGCATACACAGTTTCTGAATTCTTCATCTTAAAAATCTTACCTACCTTATTTACGTTTTCTTTTCGTGGGAAGTTACCTGAAATCACGAAGAACGGTCCTTGGAAAAGGCAGATAGTATGTCAGAACAAAGCTAACATTAGATTAACACCTGGCTTTTAGCAAGTTGTAAGCGTTAAGTTAAGTTTTGAGTTGAAGCATTTGTTGTGTTTCTAGATTTCGATATACAGACTTGATGATGAGACAAACATATCTCAAGACATTGATCTTGCCATTCTCAAAGCTCTGTTGAAAGGTATGGCAGTGATGCAGATGTTTTTATGGTGTCACTTAATGAAGCTGATATGACATGTTTTAAGATCATCACTGGACAAGGAAACAAATAATAACTCTTTGAGACTGCAAAGAAAAGCTTGATGTCTTTCAACACTGCTTCGTGTACATAAAGTTGTTGTCAAGGATATAACCTGGACGATTTTCAGTCAGCTTGTCAAGTTGTGGGTATTTGATTATAGCTATTTCGTCGAGTCGCGAATAGGGAAATGGTTTGGCAAAACGTACCTGGTTTGCAGATGCCTTAGCCCCCGTCCACACTACCCTGGAGAAATTTGAAAACGGTGTTTTGACTCTGAAAATGTATCAAATGTTTTCCGTCCACACTACGCCGGAGAAATTTGAAAACGGTGTTTTGACTCTGAACGAATCAAATCTTTTTCCGTCAACACTATGCCATGGAAATTTGAAAACGTGACAATCACCGGTCATTTTGGATTTGTGTTCGAGGAAGACTGGGGCAGAGAAATCACATGATTATTGTGGCTTCATCTTTTTGCGAAAAGCTCCGTTTTCAAAATGTTTTCCGCCCACACGAAAATGTAAAGCCGACGTGCATTTTGTTGACTTGGGGGACGGCGGGGGGTGGGGTGGGGGAACAGAACAATCTAAAAGCCAGTACGTTTCAGGAGGTGTGTCAGCTCCTTTAAAGGTTTGACGTTTTCCTTCTCTTGCATATAAGAATGATGGTGGATCATGCAAACAGAAAGGGAGAAAATCTTCAGCCAGCAGTAAACAGGTCGGATAGATTAGATAGCTTGAGATAGTAGAAATGAAATTCTCGAGTGTGTGACGTTGTGAAAGATCGTGTGCGTGACTGTACGAGAAATTGAGTGCGTGACTGTATGAGAAATCGAGTGCGTGACTGTATGAAAGATCGATTGACCGTTTGTGAGCTGAAAGATCGAGTGTTACATGTAAAGATCGATTTTGTGACGGTACGAAAGGTAGCGAGCAGATAGATGCAGTCATTGTACTTGTTATTAGTGTTTGTTCTCATCGAAAAACCTTTTAGGATACTTAATTTACAAATTTTAAATCTCTTGATTGACAGCCAACAGTTCCAGTCCTTTGGTGCAGTTGAATTTAGCGTTAGCCTGGAACCGGATTGATGTGGCCAAAAGTGAAATCTTCACCGAGGAGAAACACTGGACGGTTGGTTGTTTTTTTGTAATTTCAAAACTAAAATAACTCCACGCTTTGAATACCTCATCCTTAATCAGTTACCATCTCATAATCCCTTAATTAACCAATATTAGTCTCGGTTTTCCCGAACTGAACTCAGCAAATCGAGTGGACGGCCCACGAAACGCGCGGTTTTTGCTAATTTCGCGTCGGCTTCGCTGCGTTTTCAGAAAAAAAAAAACAATCGAAACTTGTCGCATTTATCATTTACAGTAATGCAGTCTGATCAAAGGCGGACAGTTAAACTTTGAAGGAGTTTCTGATTTCTCTCAGAAGGCTTTTTGCGGAGAAGGCGTGTTCCTACACTGTTCAGTTTTTACTCATTCAGGAAATACTTTTTCACGGTCTTGACTTACCAGTCCTTAACGAGTCTGATAACGTTACTGATCGCTTTGTTATGTTTATAGACCGAGGGCCTTTCCAACCCAATGCTGGCTGCTTTACTGGACGACAAGACAGGCTTTGTTGAACTATTCCTGCAGAATGGACTTAGCCTGAGAGAGTTTCTAACTCCACAAATCCTCTGTCAGTTATATACCGGGGTAAGTTCTATAACACTCGATTCTTCATACATCATGGAGCAAAAATAACGCATGAAGCTTTGGTTACTTTCAATCAGAGGAAAACTTTTCAAACTTTCTGCTACTACCAGCCCGAAAGGACCTATTCAGTTTCAGTATAAATCTACTAGCGTTTTATCACGAATGCCTTTATCTTATTGGCTACGATACTCACTATGTATTCTGTTGTAGATAGTGAGTAGCCTAGCGGTGTACACTGGGGCCGCTTCGTTGCGTTTTCGAAGGGTCGTCGAAGGGAATTTAGATGAAAATTTTGAACGTGTACTAGATTTATACTAAAGCAATTACCGACATTGTTCGCTCTCGATTTCTATGCGTGGTAGAAATCTCGAGTTCATAATCTAATTGTTGAATAGCGTTAAGTTCGCGGTAAAAGGTAAAAATCCTTCGAAAGTAGCCACCTCCAAAAGAAGCGGCAACATTTTACGGTCGTAGGCAGTTGTCGGAAATGGCAACCCTCAAAGAGTAGCACCCCTCCCCCCCTCCCCCC